CTGTGCTAGGAAACCACGCAGGGCCTAAGATTTTGAATCCTACTATTGTACTAGGCTCAAATCCCTTATAGAGCTTGTCACTCAGAATTACCCTCAATAGTGCCAGCCCCCCATATCAGTCTCCCATCTAGAAAATGGGCTGACAGCAGCAACCACCTCACAAGGCTATTTCAAGGATTAAACAACCAAAGAACACAGGCCGATCGGCACTCGCCCCGTAGTCAGTGCTCATGAATGCCAGCTGCTGTGAGTTGAATCCTCTGGCCCATGCTGGGCCGCAAACTCCCTGGGAGTAGAAGACATCTTATGCCTCTCACCATCTCCCAGACCTTGCACATTTCACGGGATTAACAGGCAGTGCTCGCTGGGGTTTTCCCCAGAGCCTTCACAGCACTGTCCAATCACACCCCAGATGCCACCCTCTCCCGTAAACCTCACGATAACTAGACAGTGGAGATTCTCCACCTGGCCACTGCATTTGCGTCAATCATTCTTTGTGGTGGGGGCTGCCCACCACCCACTGTCTGATGTTGAACCACACCCCTGGCCTATAGACTCGCGAGATGCCAGTAGCACCCCCACCCCGGCAGGGACAACCAAAAATGTCCCCAGACACTCCCCAAGTGTCCCCGGAGGAGGTAGGACTGCCCCCGTTTGCGAATCACAGCAGTGTAGATGTGCCCACTTGCCACTCCTACCAGAGGAGGACACTGAGGCTCAGAAGTCAAGACCTTTGCCGAGAGTCTCATGGCTGAGACGGGTGGTATTAAGTGTGAAATTTCACTCTCCACTAGACCATGTCTGCTCACCCTTACCTACCCTCTCCCTTTGCTAGATTTAGAAAACACCAACTGGGCACAAAGCCCTCAGAGAAAACGCACAGGTCTCTAAGAACTGAGACCTTCGCCAAGCAGGCAGCACATGAGAAGCCTGGAAGGACATTACCACAACCACACACAGATCACAACCTCAGACACGTGACCTCTGCCGGCTCAGCTGGTCCTCACCCCACCTAACGTGCAAGCAGGCCCAGTCCCACCCCCCCCGCCCCCCCGGTCCCACCTCATGCGGCCCAGAGGGTTCTCTAGGGGAAGGCATTAGCGGCCAAGGGGACTGAGGGGCAAATGCAGAGACAAGGAACATGAAAGTAGCTGGAAGGCAGCACAGGGGTGGTAGCCAGACCACTATGCAGCTTGTGTGAAGGAAGGACTCTGGTGCCTCAATTGCCTTGTGTGTCAAATGATGACAACAGGCAGGACCTGCTAGTCATGGGCTTAAATGAGTTCGAGTGCGTAAAAGTGCTGAGAGCAATCTGGGAGGAGAAACGAGGGGCATGGAGGACCTGAGAGAGGACGCAGAGTGGCATGAACACTGACTCATGTTTTCCAGCCCTGGTGGCTCACCACCATCCCAAAAGCAACGTGCCCCACTAAGTCTGATGGGATCCCTCTCTCCACACAGGCTCTGGCAATGACACTGATGAAATCTAGGGTCAGACAATGTTGGGTCAACCTCCATCTATCTCCAAATCCCCGGGCCTCCAGGCAGACTCCTTCGATAGATCCTGTAAGGCTGACCAAAACTCACATCTCCTCAAAGCCCAGCTCAAGAACCTGCTGGGGCTCCCTGTTGCCCAGCCAGGAGGTCAGATTTTTTAATTACCCTGGATGCAGGCCAAGGGGTTCTGAACTTCCATCTGGGGGTAATGGGCAGATCCAGGAGACCCAGAGACAGAGTTTCTCTTTCTTGTGAATGGCACTAAAAGTCTGTCTCCACAGTAGGGTCATCCCCCCAACTCCTTCCCTCACAAAGACAAAATGTTTACGGCACTCAGGAGACTGGTACATGCTCAAAAAAGGCTGTCCATGTGTTGTCCCCTGAGGCTAGAACACTGACCCCTCCCTTGCACCCCAGCACCACCCACCCCTTAGCTAATTTTATTATTCAGATCTTAGCTCTCCCGGAATACTTCTGGCCACCCATCAAAACCTCTCCATCCCCTCACGGCTCACGATGACTCCACATTGCTACACCATCTCTGTAAACACAGAGGTATGTGAAATTCTCATGATCCTTTGCTTGTGGAAGTTTGGTTGCTTGAGAGCTAGTTGCTCCGGATCTGTTACTCCGGGATGCTTCCCCAGGCCCCAGCGGGGAGTCGGCAACCAGCAGTGAAATGAAACTGTCTCAATGGGCTGCCTACTTGTTGCACTTGCCCCCACAGAGTCTGTGCATGCTAAGTTCTCACTGAAAAGCAGTTATTACTGGTGCCTTCTCCTCCAGCTCCAAGCACAAACCGGAGCTGCCCGAGGCGCTGCCTGTCCTCCACTCATCAGGGCCAATTCCCAACCGTCTCAGTTGAGTGACTGGATGGCACCCCCATCCCCCTATCCCTGGTATCCAACCCAGCTTAGGTCCAGGAGGACCCAGTCTGTGCTGAAGCAGACCTGCAGCGATCCTAGCCCAACCAGGCAGGGAGGATGGTTCGGTCTCTTTTTGCGGGGCTGCTGGCCCAGTTCCTATTCCTCCTAGAACCAAGTGGCTAGCCAGACAGGGAAGAAGGGCAGGGCCCAGGTTGGAGGGTGTCCTGGGAACTATAGGGAGACTGGGGAGAATGAGGGTGACAAACCCATCATTAAACCCAGAAGAACTGGCTGACACCACTTGACCCAGCAGTTTGTGGCTCCTGCCTCAGGTGCTGAGGATCCCAAATGAAAGTCCCGAGGACACCCTGGTAACAGCCTTGCAATTAGCCCAGAAAGGAACAAAAGCTGCTGCCATCCGACTGGGGGCCAAAGTGGGGCAAAAACAGTCTAGGCAAGCAAAGTCAAGTCCAGCCCTGGTGGTGCCAGGCCTCCTCAGCTTCCCACGGCCAGCCCACAGCTCCATGACTCCTGACCTCTCGGCTCCCAGGAGGGAAATGGGGAAGAAGGGGTGACCAGGCCTCCGAGAAAGCCACCTCCACTGTTCCAGTCCCCGGGGACACCATGGAAACTCAGTCTGTCCCAAAGGGGATTGACTCATCCCTCGAGGTCGGCAGGAGGGAAGGCCTGGATGGAGGAGAATGCCCACCAGGGAATGCAGAATGAGGAGCTCCTTCAGTCACCCCCCTGGAAGACCACTTGAGTGACTATGGATTTGTGTTGAGGGCCAGACAATCCCAGTTCAGCCACTGTCTGCTCATGTGACCTGAAACAAGCTATACCACCCGAGCCTCAGCTTCCTTGTCTGGACCACAGAGAAGGCCTAAGTTGACCCGGTGGTGGTGAGCCATCAATGAGCTCATCCAACCAGCGAGCTCGGCACAGGGCCTGGCCCAGGACTAGTGTCCCAGAGGTAGATCCCTGGGCCAGGGTGTGAGTGCCTGATTTGATCCCTTTAACTTTTCTCTGTGCCCTGCCTTTACCCCATCGGGAGCCTCCAAACCACCATTAGCAGAGTTTTACATGCTCACTCCCTCTAATTCTTCACCCCTAGGGAGGTGGCACACAGAACTCAGGCGCAAGGAGTTGGTGCCTGGGAGGCCATGGTACTAATATATATGACGGTGGCTATGAGGTCCCATCCACTAGGCTTGAACCAACAGCTTCTGGCCACAAAAGGTAGAGAAAGAACGCAGGATCCTAAAATACCCAGGTAATGTCTGCTGGGCTGCCTCCCTGTAGATATATAAGGTGGGGGTGGGCGAGGGCCACCTTGTGATAAACAAGATGCCTAAGCTAGGTGTTCCAGACTGTCTCCAGCTGCCCACACAAACACCCACTGGCCAGCGCCTTTGAACAGTTGGCAGAGGCTTGCCCAAGGGGTAGGGTCAGGACTCTAGAGGCTTCTGGGATGAGGTGTGGGAATGAGGGAACCCCTTAGATGTGACTCTGAACTAACACTTCGAGTTGGGGTCGATGCGGGGCGCATCTCAGTATATACCTGCTGGTCACACTAGCTTTTCCTGACCTGCCCCCACATCCCCCCAGCCTAGCCCAAAGGCTCTGCTCCCCCGACTCGCAAAGCTCCTACAGCAGTCCCTCGCCTTACCTAATCGCCCCCAGATCTAGCCTCCCCCTCCCCACATCTGAGTCCTGACCTCATGTGACCCCCGGAAAACATCTCTGGGATCTCCTATCCGCCCCCACCCGAACTAACTCCGCCCACACCCACCGTGCCCCACTTCCTGGGCTTCTCCTCAGCCGCCCCCAGGCCTGTAACTTGACCCACCCACCTCCTCCAGCGCCCAGGCGGTACCTGCAGGCCCGGCCCCTCCCCGCCCCCCTCCGGCCGCGCCGCTCTCCTCTCCTCCCCCACTCGGCCTGGCCAGAGCCCGACTCCTCCTCCCCCTCCCCCTCCGGCATCCACGGGCGCCTCCTCACTTTTCCGCTTCGGACCCTCTAACTTCCCTGGATCCCCGGTACCCGCCCCGGCCCGACCTGGCCCCCTCCCTCGCTGGGAGCTGGGGGAGCGGTCCAGGTACGATCCTGCCGCCCCCAAGCCCCGAGGTTCGGGCTGGACGCTCAAGTCTGCCCGCGGTAGCCGGGCCTGCACACACACGCCTGCCCGGGCACAGTGCAGGCTGCGGGCCCGGCTCCTCCTCAGTCCGAGAAAGCACCCAGGCCCTCCCCACTCAGCCCTCGGGCCGCCCCGGCTGGAGAAGGCCGGAACCGGGCCTGAGGCGGGCCGCCTCACCTGCGCCGTGGCCGCGCTCCGGGGGCTCCCGGCGGGCTCCGCAGCGGCGGCTGGGGCCGGGCCTGGGCCCGGGGCGCGCCCCCCTGCGCCGGGGCCTCGGCCTCCGCCTCCGCGGCCTCCGCGGCCTCCGCCTCAGCAGCAGCGGCAGCCGCGGCGGCCATTCATTGTGGGCCAGGCCGCCCCAGCCGAGCGCCGAGCGAGCGCAAGCCGCGCCGCCGCCGCAGCCAGGCCAGGGAGGAGCGGCACCGGCCCCGCCCGCGCACCGCCCTCAGGCCCCGCCCTCCAGGCGAGGCCAGCCGAGCTCCGAGCGCGCCCCATCTAACCGGCTCCGTCTCCTCTCTATGCCCCTGGGAGGATCCTCGCCGGTACGTCGGCTCAGCTCGGTGGTTCGAATCCCGACCCCGCCACCTTCTAGTCCCGCGACCTTGGGCAAGTCGCTCTACCTTTCCGAACTTTAGTTTCCTGTAAAACAAAAACAATAATGACTGCTGTTTATTGTAGCAGGCACCGTGTTAGGTTCTTTATGGGAATTAGCTCGTTTAAACTACACAGTAAAATTTTTTAGTGGGAACTGTTACACACTAGAGAAAATAAAGGCGGCTGGGCGCGGTGGCTCACGCCTGTACTCCCAGCACTTTGGGAGACCGAGGTGGGTGGATCGCCTGAGGTCAGGAGTTCAAAACCAGCCTGGCCAATATGGCGAAACCCTGTCTCTACTAAAAATACAAAAATTAGCCGGGCGTGATGGCAAGCGCTAGTAATCCCAGTCACTCGGGAGACTGAGGCAGGAGAATCGCTTGCACCCGGGAGGCGGTGGTTGCAGTGAGCCGAGATCATGCCACTGCATGATCCAGGGCGAGACTCCGTCTCAAAAAAAAAAAAAAAAGAAAAGAAAAGAAAGAAAGACAGAAAAGGAGGCACAAAGAAAGCTGGTCAAGATCATCACACAGCAAGGAAGTGATGGCGGGTGCCAGGATTTAAACGCAGGCTCAAAAGCGACAATAACAGCTAAGACTTTTATGATGCTTACCGGATGCTAGGTTCTGTTAGCATTTTACGTGCACTAACTCGTTTACTTCTCACTACAACCCACTAACAAATGGTAAAAAGTTCTGCCCTTTTGCAAAAGCGGTAACTTAAGTTCAGAGTTAACAACAAGTCGCAGGGCGAGCTAAGACTGGAACCCAGGTACCCGGGAACCACTTCGCTGTCCTGCCTTCGTACACTGGTTAGAACTTTACCGAGCGCTTACAAGGTCAGAGTGGCTCTTTACACACTTTCCAGGAATCTGTCATTTAATCTTTGTTCTATCTGAGAAACCACGATTCTTATTTAATAGATAAGAAAACTGAAGGCCCTAGAGTAACCGGCCCAGAGCATGTGGTGGGACTGAGATTCAAACCCAGTAAATCCAACTCCAGAGCCTGAGTTATCCCTGCAGAGTGCTCTGAAATAATGTGTATATAGCACCCAGAACACAGAAGAGGACCAATAGCTGTTGGGTTTCTCCGCTTACCGCCCCTTTTCTGAGCCACAACTTCCTCATCTGTGAAATGGGACTAGTGACGTGTCCTCTCCCAGGGGATCCACTGTGATTAAAACCCCCGGAACAGCATGATCAGCGCGCTTCCTTTATGGCATTCATTTTGATCCCGGCCGCCCACCGTCCACGTCCTCATTGATTGGCCAACCACTATCATGTGATTTCCCCCACCCACCGTGCCAACATGGCGGCGCCCAGGTCCTAATTTGGGAAACGTGCACCTTGACTAATTCGGTTTTCTGTGGCTACGAGACCAGGTGAGGAGGGGCTGGGCAGTGCGGGAAGGGATTCAGACTCAGGGCGGGCCTGCACGAGGGCATCGGCTCCGCAGGAACCAGTCATCCCCAAAACGAGGGGTTATCAGCTTACCGAGGCCGCAGGTCTTCCTAGTTTCTACTTCATAGATATGTAGGACACCCCCGGGCCCAGAATGCGGCTCTCTGACCCTCTCTGTGCCTTTCCCCGCCCCCCGAACCAGGCTTGGCGGACAGAGGCACCAGCGGATGTCTCATGCAAGGATCGTTCTGTGGCTAAGCCTCACTCTCCGCCCCACCCGTGTGCTCTGTACAGCCCGGTTTTTCGAGGGGCAGTCCCCAGGGCTGCCGAATCCAGCAGCGATGGAGAACGGCACCGGGCCCTGCGGAGAAGAATGCCCACGTGAAGTCCAGGAGACGACAATCACCGAGGGGGCTGCCAAAATCGCCTTTCCCAGCGCCAACGAGGTCTTTTATAACCCGGTGCAGGAATTCAATCGGGACCTGACGTGAGCAGGGGTCAGAGGTCAGCCTGGCATCGGCTAGTGGGTCAGTGTGGATGGCGGGGGCGGGGTATGAGCTAGTCCTCTGTCTCCCACCAGATGTGCTGTGATCACCGAGTTTGCTCGCATTCAGCTTGGGGCCAAAGGAATCCAGAGTGAGTGGAGGTCCAGGCTTCTGGCGGGCGGGGGTCACACAAGTCTTATCTCCCTGCCTGGGCCCTTCTGCCGCCCAAATCCAGAGAGGCTTCAGCCACATAGCAGGCCCTGGGTTCTGCTCCTTCAGCCTTTCCCCAGGGATTTCAGGGAAGATATTTTGGAGATTAAGGGGAGGTTTCTCAGAGAGGACTTCGTTACTCTCTGACTTGTGCCTCTGGGTGGCTGCAGTCAAGGTGCCAGGAGAGAAGGACACGCAAAAGGTGGTCGTGGACTTGTCAGAGCAAGAGGAGGAAAAGGTTGAACTGAAAGAGAATGAAGACCTGGCCTCAGGAGACCAACCTCGCACAGCGGCCGTGGGGGAAATCTGTGAGGTGGGGCCTGAGCATAGCAGCTGGCAGTCCTGGAATTTAGCGGGAGACAGAGGGCTCCTGGAGGGGGAGAGCTATAGGAGGTGGGTGGTGGGGGCTCCTTGGGGCCCAGAAGAGGATGGAGATGGAGGTGTGAGGGAGGTTTTCTGCTCACTCCAACAGGAAGGCCTGCATGTGCTGGAAGGCCTGGCAGCTTCAGGCCTACGTTCCATTCGATTTGCCCTAGAGGTGCCTGGGCTCAGATCTGTGGTTGCAAACGATACCTCTGCCCGGGCTGTGGATCTCATACGCCGGAATGTCCAGCTCAATGACGTGGCACACCTGGTACAGCCCAGCCAAGCAGATGCCCGGTAGGTTCTGGGCATCACAGCCTAGCTATGGGACAAGGCTGCCTGGGATCAAAATTCTGGCTCTCTCCTATTCTCACTCTATGACCTTGAGTGAGTGACTTAGCCTCTTTGAGCCCCAGTTTCCTTGTCTGTCAACTGAGAAAACTAGTTTTACAGGGGTTGCTGTGATGAGTAAGTAATAGATAATTATTGTACGATCCATACTCTGTGCCAGAAATAAGTAGCATTCTGGTCTCTGTTTTAACTTCTTATACTCCTTTTATTCATTCAAATGAGCCATAGTATATGCAGTGTCTGCTATGTGCCAGGCACCGTTTTCAGAGCTGGAAATGCATCAGGAAACAAAACAGGCAAAATTGGTGACCTTCGCAAGGTGACCTTCGCAAGAGTTGGCAAACAATAGCCTATGGGGCTCACAGCCTGTTTTTTTTGTTTGTTTGCTTGTTTGTTTTTTGAGATGTAGTCTCACCCTTGTTGCCCAGGCTGGAGTGCAGTGGCATGATCTCAGCTCACTGCAACTTCTGCCTCCCGGGTTCAAGCGATTCCCCTGCCTCAGCCTCCCGAGTAGCTGGGATTACAGGCACGTGCCACCACGCCTGGCTAATTTTTATTTATTTTTATTTATTTATTTTTTGAGATGGAGTCTCCTTCTGTTGCCCAGGCTGGAGTGCACTGGCGTGATTTTGGCTCACCACAACCTCCGCCTCCCAGGTTCAAGTGATTCTCCTGCCTCAGCCTCCCAAGTAGCTGGAACTATAGGCATCTGCCACCACACCAGGCTAATTTTTGTATTTATAGTAGAGATGGGGTTTCACCATGTTGGCCAGGCTGGTCTCGAACTCCTGACCTCAAGTAATCTGCCCGCCTCGGCCTTCCAAAGTGCTGGTATTACAGACGTGAGCCACTGCGCCTGGCCTAGCCTGGTTTATTAATGGCCCACGAGCCAAGAATGTTTTTTACATTTTTAAAGCTTAAAAGGCCGGGCGCGGTGGCTCAAGCCTGTAGTCCCAGCACTTTGGGAGGCCGAGACGGGCGGGGATCATGAGGTCAGGAGATTGAGACCATCCTGGCTAACACGGTGAAACCCCGTCTCTACTAAAAAATACAAAAAAATTAGCCGGGCGTGGTGGCGGGCACCTGTAGTCCCAGCTACTCAGGAGGCTGAGGCAGGAGAATCACTTGAACCCAGGAGAGGGAGGTTGCAGTGAGCCAAGATCACTCCACTGCACTCCAGCCTGGGCAACAGAGGGAGACCCCATCTCAGAAAAGAAAAAAAAATAGGCCAGGCGCAGTGGCTCACACCTATAATCCCAGCACTTTGGGAAGTTGAGGTGGGCGGATCATGAGGCCAGACGATCCTGGCTAACACGGTGAAACCCCGTATCCACTAAACATACAAAAAATTAGCCGGGCATGGTAGCGGGCACCTGTAGTCCCAGCTGTTCCGGAGGCGGAGGCAGGAGAATGGCATGAACCTGGGAGGCGGAGCTTGCAGTGAGCCGAGATCGCGCCACTGCACTCCAGCCTGGGCAACAGAGCGAGACTCCGTCTCAAAAAAAAAAAAAAAAAAGTTTCAAAAAGAAGAATATGCAGTAGGTACCATATATGACTCACAAAGCCTAAAATGCCATCTGACCTTTTCCAGAGAAAAAAGTTTTTACTTTTCTGACCCTACTAGAATCCAAATAGTAATCACAGACAATGAAAATTAATTAGCTGGGCATGGTGACTCATGCCTGTAATCGAGCATTTTGAGAGGCCAAGGCAGGAGGATCGCCTGAGGTCAGGATTTCAAGATCAGCCTAGGCAACACAGTGAAACCCCTGTCTCTACAAAAATTTTAAAATGAGGTCAGACGCAGTGGCTCACCCCTGTAATCTCAGCAATTTGGAAGGCCGAGGCGGGTGGATCACTTGAGGTCGGGAGTTCCAGACCAGCCTGGCCAACATGGTAAAACCCTGTTTCTACTAAACATATAAAAATTAGCCAGGCATGGTGGCACGTGCCTGTAATCCCAGCTACTTGAGAGGCTGAGGTAGGAGAATCACTTGAACCCAGGAGGTGGAAGTTGAAGTGAGCTAAGATCCCGCCACTGCGCTCCAGCCTGGGTGACAGAGGGAGACTCTGTCTCCAAAGAAAGAAAGAAAAAAAAATGTGTTAATACGTCTATAAACTGCTTGAAATGGTGTCAGGCAGATACGTCTTATATCAGTATTGTTGTTGTTTCAGATGTGTGGGCTGAGGTCCACATGGTGCTTTTCTTTTTTTTTTTTTTTTTTTTTTTTTTTTTTTTTTTTTTTTTGAGACGGAGTCTGGCTCTGTCGCCCAGGCTGGAGTACAGTGGCCGGATCTCAGCTCACTGCAAGCTCCGCCTCCCGGGTTCACGCCATTCTCCTGCCTCAGCCTCCCGCGTAGCTGGGACTACAGGCGCCCGCCACCTCGCCTGGCTAATTTTTTTTTGTATTTTTTAGTAGAGACGGGGTTTCACTGGGTTATCCAGGATGGTCTCGATCTCCTGACCTCATGATCCGCCCGTCTCGGCCTCCCAAAGTGCTGGGATTACAGGCTTGAGCCACCGCGCCCGGCCGGTGCTTTTCTTAAGTAGGAAAATTGTGCAGTTTAATAAATGACCAAGGCCAGGTGCAGTGGCTTACACTTGTAATCTCAGCACTTCGGGAGGCTGAGGCGGATGGATCACATGAGGTCAGGAGTTTGAGACCAGCCTGGCCAACATGTTGAAACCCCGTCTCTACTAAAAATAGAAAAATTAGCCGGGCATGGTGGCACATGCTTGTAGTCCCAGCTACTCGGGAGGCTGAGATACAAGAATTGCTTGAACTGGGGAGGCGGAGGTTGGAGGGAGCCGAGATCACGACACTGCGCTCCAGCTGGCCGACAGAGCAAGACTCCGACTCAAAAATATATACAATAAAATAAATAAATAAATAAGCCAGGACGTGAACTTGGAAATCTGCCCCCAGAGTTCAGATCCAAACCACCGCGCTGTAGGAGTTAATATGTGTAGGGGACAGAGAAAGTACCTGGTGCGGGAGGCTGAGGACCTGGCCCTCTTTGCACCCAGGATGCTGATGTACCAGCACCAGAGGGTGTCGGAGAGGTTCGACGTCATTGATCTGGACCCCTATGGCAGCCCAGCTCCCTTCCTGGATGCAGCTGTGCAGGCTGTGAGTGAAGGAGGTGAGGCTGGGATGGCACTGGGGTAGGAGCAGGGCCTAGGGTGTTGGAGGGTTCTCACTGCCCAGCCCCTCTCTACAGGGTTGCTGTGTGTGACCTGCACGGACATGGCGGTGTTGGCAGGAAACAGCGGGGAGACATGCTACAGCAAGTACGGGGCCATGGCCCTCAAGAGCCGGGCCTGCCACGAGATGGTGAGGGGCCCTCTGCCAGCCAGCCAGGGAGACCGGGGGACAGGTGGTTGTCTGAGTCCCTTCCCAATACA